TAACTCCCATTCGGCCAGACAGTGCTTTTTTATTATTAAAATAATTGAAAAGACATATGTGCCCTTATTTAAGGAAGGAGCACTGGTTCTAACACAACATTACAGATCAGCAACCTTAATCTGGGTATAAGGACAGAAATACCCCTACACTAACATTCTGTAACCAATGAATTAACTTGTTGACTTTCAAAAGGATTAAAGTACTGTAACTGATATGTTAACTTGTTGATTTGCCATGGATTCATAGCAGTGCAGAGAGAGAGAGAGAGAGAGAGAGAGAGAAGAGAGCAGATTCTGTAAGCTTATACTTACTGCTGAGATAAAAGGATCAAATTGTGAAAATTTTGCCATTTCCCCATCATCACTGTCAACACTATTCATATCTCAGCTAGCATGGTTTCAATATTCGTGAAAACTAGGAATCAAGGATATTAAATTCTTATGGATATGCTTTTTCTTGCTTGCTAAGGAACAAAATTGGGTGTCTATAGAAATTTAAGCAGCAAGTAATGTTACATACAAATGGAACTTGATGGACGGCTAAGAGAGGGGAGGTCTTTGTTCGATGACATCACCCAATAAGAGAGGTCTTAGTTCTTTTTGAAAAGAGAAGGGAGGTTTTACTATTTATGAGAAATACCAAGGGAGGTTAAAGTCTTTTGCCCTTTATTTTATTATGAAATACCTTCCAACAGAATACTCAAATCCAAGGTAGTACCTTTCCTCTCCAAATGGATTTAACAAGGCAACCAAACCTAAGAGAAGGGTTTATAGATAGGCCAACAAAGAAGAACATGAGAGTAATTCCAAGGAGTTGAGAAGGATCAAAGAATACTTCCTCTAAAGAGTCAATTAAGGCCAAAATCTCAGGGCATTCGCAATCCTTAAGGCCCAGTTGAAAACTTAAATCCCATGACAAACCTTGATGGCAGAAGGACATGCAATCAGAGATAAAGCAGTCTGGATGAGAGGAAAGGGAGAATAGTAATGGAGATTTATCTTTAAGTAGCTGGTCCCCCATCACAGTTCTGTCCAAAATCTGGTTTTTCTGCCAGAAAGAGCATCATAACCAATAAAGCGCAAAAAGGAGGGGAGAGACAAATTGATGTATTTCCAAGGAGAAGACAAAATTGCTCTTGCCTGTAAGTTGCAATACAGTCATTCATACTTATACCACAGGTGCTTCTAATGACTGCCAAATCTTGTCTAAATCCCTAGGGAATCTCCACAACCACTTTTCTAAGAGAGAAGAGTTTCTCAAAACTATCCTCTGCAAAAGTTGATATTCAGATTCCATAGATTGAATGATTTGTTTTGAGACGCTCAGATTCCATAGACTGCCGTTCAAATGGGTCTAAAAATATAAAAGAACATGAAATCATAACTATGATGGTCTTTGGCAATATGCAAAGAAAAGACCCAATATCTTAGATATGCTTTTGCATCTTACTACAGTGGAGAGCACAAAACTAAATAGATCAAAATGATTTAACTGGGGAGTCCAGACAAAATATAACTGTTTGAATGAGTCTAGATTTTGTTTACCAGTAAAATTACAAAACTCTAATCCCAACACTTCAGTGTTCACTCTTATGCCATTAAGCTATCATTACAATACTTGCAAAATCTTTTGACACACATATAACACAAGCCTTAAGCTTTACTGATTAATGAACATCTACCATTAGGAATCCAACTTAGCTCTATGGTTATCAGCATGGATAAAATGGTTTATACTTTTGCCCTTGTGATTCATTGTCTCCAACTTCTTGATTATTGTCATTGTCTGATGGAATTCTTCTCTACTCTCTAATATCCATTTGAAAGATTTGAAGAAGATTCAGTATGTATCTATATGTCAGAGAGAGAGAGAGAGAGAGAGCTCTTTTCAAAAATTCTAATAAAAATTGTTTCAAAAAAAAAAGCCCTAACTAGTTTCACCTAATGAGAACCAATTAATAATTGATGAAGTCCTAAATTACTACAAGAAAATCATGTCATGAAGCAAAAATGTTAAACCGTATATAACATTATTAATAGAAAACTAATTGTGAATACCAGGAATAAAGTATTTGAAGTGAAAAAAAAAGAGAAGAGAAAAGGATAGATAAGCCTATTTATTGCTTGCAATCTATACACTAATTGTTGTAGTACATAATTGATCCCCACTTCTATTTATTGAAAAAAATAATAATTCTTCTATCTGATCTCAAGAAACCTAAGAATATATATTATTACATCATAAATCATTTACCAACCAACAAATTCTGATCACCTGTTTATAAAAGAAAATACAAACTTCATTATTTCTTAGTTAATTTAAAAACACCATTTACCTGGTCTAAAGTATTGATTGCTTTAACCAGTATAGAGGAATAAACCTTTTGAGGTTTATCACCTACAATCTCTTCTTTCTCCTCAACGTAAGCAACACGGAGAGATGGATACCTTTACATCATAATTGAAAGGTTACAATTAAGTGGCTTGTACAAATACCTGTAAAAGTTGGAACATTTGTAATTTGTAAAAGATTACCTAATCATTAAGTCAAGTATATCCTGTGCACGAGGATCTCCACAGGCTTTTTGTGCTCCAAATTCTTGACAAGAGATAATGTATGCGAATTTCATATCTGTAAGTGCATCTAGCTGAGCTGATAATGAGGGATAGCTATCCTTCTTATCATGTCCCATTTCAATTGCCTTGTAGCCTTCAATAATATCTGTTCGAACAAAATTGACAACAGTTACTATAAAATATTTGAAAAAGTAAGATGGTTGTATTATTACAATTATGTATCTAATGTGAATCCAATTTTTTTTGTTCTTAAAACATATTTTATTCGCATACTGTGATTGTTTATGGGGTATATGTAGAGAGGAGGGGTAGTTTCGTCATTTTTTTATTCTATTGTATACTATTATTGTAGTGTGTATACTTGACAACTTTGTACCTCTATGTATTTTATCTTCTCTTGTAAGGACAGTTTTGTCCTTTTATTCTTTTAATATAAATATTGTTTCTGGGTTGGGTCAACCCATTCGAGACCAACCAAACAATCTTGAAGTTCTCTTGGTTTCTCTCTTGTCTCTCACTTTTCCTAGGTTATCATGGTTATCAGAGCATGCTGTTCTCTGATTTCTTCTCAGTTCATTTGAATCTTCTTTCTTTTCCATGCTCCTCTGTTCTATGCAACCAGCAAGATATTAAATTTCTCTTGGGAGACTTCAGTTCATGGTAAAATTTCATAGGGAGTTTCATCTGATCTACTTCATCATATTCTGAAAGTTTCATCAGTTTTGAACAAGTGCAGAAGGTGTTCTAATCCCTTGGGCCACAGCAGGTTTTCTTTCCTTTTCTGAACTGTGACTTCAGATTTCTGTTTGCTCTGTGGTTTGGACACTTTTCTTGGCTATAAGAGGTTTTCTGGACTGTGACTTCAGACTTCTGACTGTGACTTCAGAAGGTGTTCTAATCTCTTCAAGGCAGTGAATTTGTTCAAGTAATTGAACACAATTTCCAGGGAGTTACTGTTTGTGTGTTATTTGAACTGCCCTCTTGCCCAGATGGGGAACTTTTTCTGCAAAATTCTTTTATTTATAGTTGTAGTTCTAATCAGAAAGATCGGGGATGTAGAAAGACTTTAATTCCTAAAATCAAATTGATCCAGTGGTTCCAGGAAATCAAATTGAACCACACCTCGTTCCAGTTTTATGTATTAATTCTTGGAAACATAGTTCCTTTTATTTTATTTTATTATTTGAAACAATGTTTCCAAGAAAGACTAAGTGAGCTTTTTGTGGCTTATTTTTGTAATTTTTTATATTTTATGGGTTTTCGTATAATTTTGTTGTCTCATTCAATTTTGGATTGGGTTGGACCCCATCCAGTCCATTTGCATTTCAATTGGACCTTATTGGATTTGGTTTGAATGGGTTTGGACCGGATTGGGTCCAGTCCATTTGTAAATGGACCTATGTTGGACTGGAATGGATTGGACCGAATCTGGTTCTGTTGACACTCATAAAAATGCACAAGTTGTATCTTGGATTCTTGGATCTGTTACTGTTGATGCTGCAATTCCAATGAGGGGTCTCAAGACTGCGCATGACATGTTTGAATACCTTGAGAAAGTCTATTAGCAGTCAAATATGTCTAAACAATATCAGATTGAGTTGGAAATATTTTCTTATGCTCAGGGAGAGAAAATAATTCAAGAGTACTATGCTAGTTTCATGAACTTTTGGACTGAAAAATGAGTTGGTTCACTTGGGGGATTTATCTACAAACTGTTGTGTAAAAGCTATGCAGAAACACATTGATAAGAGGAAAGTTATGCACTTTCTAATGCATCTCCAGCCTAATTATGAGACAGTATGATCAAACATTCTCAGCAGGGAGATAGTACCTGATTTGGATATTATTCTTGGTTAAGAGAGGAAACTCAACTTCTTACTCCATCCTCTCTTGATAATACGGAGCATGGCTTGGAAGCAATTTTCTAGCAACCAAATAAGAGGGGAAGAAAGATCGTTCGAAGATTCAGTTCCATGAGTGCAAAGATATTGGGCATGTGGCATCTCATTGCAACAATAAGAACTTTTGCACCTATTGCAAACAACAGGGGCACGTCATTGCTGAATGCCCAACTCAGCCTCCCAAGAAGAGACAACATAAAGCCTTCCAAGTTTCAGTTGAACCATCAGATGCTTCTTCCTCCATTTCAACTCCCAAAGCAGACTCTCAGGATTCTCTCATTGAAGATATTATTTGACAACTGATGTCCATACTATTTCTTCCGCTTTTTTTTTTTTGCTATAGGTCTGGTGGTAAGTGTACCTACTTATGTTCTTCTCCATCTCATATGTGGACAAATGATTCTAGAGTCTTGAACCACATGACTGTGGCTTCCTTTGGTCAGTCTCCTAAACCATGTCCTACTGATAATCGCATTGTTAACTGCAAATGGTGAAACTCTTCCCATCTGTGGTTGTGATAACCTATATCTATCTACTTCCCAATCTAATCCGTTCCATCTTCCCAAAACACTTTTTGTTCCTTAGTTGACTACTAATTTGATTTCTGCTGAGAAAATTGTTGATGATGGTAACAATGTCTTTTCTCTCGTGATGATTGTTTTATACAGGACCAATGTACTAGGGAGATGAAGGGGAAGGGGCGTAAGCTTGGTTGTCCATTTGCTTTGGAATTTCAGAACAAGAGTTCTTCTACGGATTTTTGTTTGCTATTTATTACTTATAGTTCTCCTCTATTTCTTGTCATAATATGTGACATCTATGGCATAGACGTTTGGGTCACACTCATGCTAAAAACTTGGATTATATGTTTACTTTTGGTTATCTATCAGTTATTAACTATTTATTTAAGAATGTTGGTAAATCTTGTTTGACTTGTTGCTATAGTGAAAGTCATGTTTTGCCTTTTACATCTTCTAAACATGCTTTTGTTCCTTTCCATCTTATACACAATGATGTTTAATCATCTCTTGTTATTTCTCGTTTAGGCTACAGATACATTGTGTTATTAAAGATTGCATACGATATACATGGGTTTATTTTCTTCATAAAAAGTCTGAAGTTTTTCCTACATTTAAGAACTTCCATGCCATGGTTATGAATCAGTTTAAAAGTACCACAAGTATCTCGCAGTTGGATTCGGGGGGGGGGGGGGTAGTACTTTGATGGTAAGGATGGTGAGTTCCAACCTATCTTAAAAAAAAAATAGCATTCAGTCTCAAAGGTCTTGTCCTAATCCTCAACAAAATGGGGTAGCTGAGCATAAGAATTACTAAATCGCTAGTATGGTGAGATCCCTTTACAAGATTCACATGTTCCCATCACCTTCTGCATGGAGGTGGTCATCACAGCTATGTATCTTATTAATATCTTGTAACCCAGATAACCAAACCCAAGGGGAGGGGGTGAATTGGGTACTAAAGGATTTTCCCCCAACTAAGGCCTTCTAAAACTTGTGAATGCAGAACTAATAGAATGAAAGGTAGTGTGCTGTGTGTTATGCAAATGTGATGCAAATAACAAAATAAATAAACAAGTAAAATAAACAAATGCAAGAGAGTAAAGCACACAAAGATTTTATAGAGGTTCAACCAAGCCTAGGCCTATGTCCTCTCCTCGGGCAACCTCATGAGAACTTCTACTAAACAACTAGGTTTCTGGGTGCCAGAAAAACCTTACAAATAGTAGGACTTCCAAGTTCCTACCAAACCTTACAACAATTGGGCTTACAAGTGCCAATAAAACCTAAACAGTTGAGCTTTTGAGTGTCAACCAAACCTTAATAGTTGGGTTTGTAGGTGCCAACTAGACTTATAATGGTGTTCACACTTGAAACACACAAATACAACAAGATAATAGCAATGTAAAGCACAAATACAGCAAATGCCTCTTAATAGGATGGCAGAAACAAATACAAGCAAATCTATATCAAATGCAAGAGTATGCACAATGCTATAAGTAGAGATCACTAATTGCAGATTTAGTCGAGTTTCTTGTGAAGGAAAGAGGGGGAAGATGAAGATTTCAGCAGTAGAGAAGAAAGGAGAAGAAGAAGAGAGTAGGAAGTCAACCAGGATTCTGAAATCTACCCTAGCCGCCCCCCTCTCATTATATTTATACTTAACTTAAAAAGATGAGAT